AAGGAAAAGATCAACAAAATTAACAGTGGATTTTTAAAAAGGTAGATGAAACTGACAAACCTTTAGCTAGACTAAGAAAAGAATGAGGGAAGTTTCAAATGAGTAACATTAGAAATAAGGATAAACATTATAATTGATTCCACAGAAATAAAACAGATCCTAAGAGACTACTTTGAACAGTCATACACCAACAACATACAATTTGCCCAAACTGAATATAAATAAGCAGAAAATCTGAATGAGCCAGTAAGTAAGGAGATTAAATCAGTAATCAAAAACCTCCCACCAGTAAAATACCTGGACTTCAGTGGTGCATTCTACCTAATATTTAGAGAAAAATTAACACCAATCCTTCTCAAACTCTTCTGAAAATTGAAAAGTGAATACTTCCAAATTCATTTTATGAGGTCAGCATTATCCTGATACCAAAGCCAGACAAAAACACTGCCAGAAAATATAACTACATTCCAAAGTTCCAAATGAACATAGATGCAAAAATCCTCAATAAATTCCTAACAAACTAAATTCAACAGCACATTTAGAAAAAAAAAGAATTCTGGCCAGTTGCGGTGACTCACACCTGTAATCCCAGCACTTTGGGAAGCCAAGGCAGGTGGATCATTTGAGGTCAGGAGTTCCAGATCAGCCTGGCCAACATGGTGAAACCCCGTCTCTACTAAAAATACAAAAATCAGCTGAGTGTGGTGCCAGGCGCCTGTAATCTCGGCTACTTGGGAGGTTGAGGCAGGATAATTGCTTGAGCCCAGAAGGCAGAGGTTGCAATGAGCTAACACCACTGCACTCCGGCTTGGGCAACAAGAGCGAAACTGTCTCAAAAAAAGAAAAAAAAGAAGAATTCTATGCCATAAACAAATAGAATTTATCCCTGGCATGCAGGGTTGATATGATTCAACATATACAAATTGATCAACCTGATACACCAATGTGATACAGAATAAAGAATTAAAAAAAAAAAAAAGCTGGGCACGTTGGCACACACCTGTAATCCCAGCACTTTGAGAGGCTGAGGTGGACCGACTGCTTGAGTCTAGAATTCAAGACCATCCTGGGCAACATAGTGAGAACCCCCCATCTCTAGGAAAAAAAAAACAAAAAATTAGTCGGGCATGGTGGCACATGCCTATAGTCCCAGCGACTTGGGAGGCTAAGGTAGGAGGGTCGTTTGGGAGGAGGTCGAGGCTGCAGTGAGCAGTGATGGCACCATTGCACTCAACCTGGGGAAGAAAGTGAGACTCTGTCTCAAAAAAAAACAAAAAAAAATGAATAAAAAAGAATCAATAGATGTGGAAAAATTATTTGACAAAATTCAACACACTTTCATGAGAAAAACTCTCAATGAACTAGCTATGGAAGGAATTTACTTGAACATAGTGAAGGCCATATGTTATAAACTCATAATTAACATCATACTAACTGATGAAAAACTAAAGGCATTTTTTCTAAGGTCAGGAACAAGGCAAGCATATCCACTTTTACCAATTTTACTCAACACAGTACTGGAAATACTGAGCAAAGAAGTAAGAAAAGAAATAAAGCCATCAAAATATAAAAGCAAGAAGTAAAATTATCTCTGTAAGCCTGCAACATGATCTTGTATGTGGAAGACGATTAACAGTCAACCAAAAACCAACCATCAGAACCAGGAAGTGAAGTCATTAAATTGGTAGAACACAAAATCATGACTTCAAAGTCAATTGGTTTTCTAGACACTAACAATGAATTATCAGAAAAAGAAATTAGGAAAACAATCCCATTTCCAAAAACATTAAAAAGAGTGAAATATGCAGGATTAAATTTAACTAAGGAAGTGAAAAACTTGTAGACTGAAAAAACAAAACACGGATGAATGAAAGTTTAGAAGACAAAAACAAATGAAAAGACATCTTGTGTTCATGAATTGGAAGTCTTAATATTGTTAAAATGTCCATCCTACAGAAAATGATTTATATATTTAAGGAAATCCGTATCAAAATCCCAATGGAATTCTTTACAGAAATTGAAAAATGTGTCCCAAAGTTTGTATGGAACCATAAAATACCCCAAACAACCAAAACAATCTTCAGAAAGAACAAAGCTGGAGGCATCACACTTCATGATGTCAAAATACAAAACTACTATAATTGAAATGGTATGATATTGGCATAA